AGAGAGAGAGAGAGATGGGGGAGGGAGTTAAAGTTGAGAAATTAGGAATTTAAGGTGCGGTGGGTGGGTGGGTGGGTGGGGTGTATATAAATTAATTTTTATAATATTATTATTAATATTTAATTAAATGTAAAAAACCTGTATCTATATATAAAATATCTGATTTTTGAAAATTAAAACTTGAAATCTGATTTATGAATTTGAATCTTGAAAAGTATGGTTTCATGTAATTTTCACTTAACACTATTAAGTGTAACATAGGAGGCTAATGGTAATTTTTCCTCGTATTCTTCTGGTATTTAGTGAAAAGCCCTAGGATTCACCAAATGAACTGAGAGAATCAAACATTGCATTTAATACTCCAAGAAAAAAAAAGCTCGACATTTATGGTGATGCTGATGCTATTTTGTCCAAGTTGAATAGGCTATTTTCTCATTCTACAAGTAATTAAGAGTACGTTCTCTTTACCATTTTCAAATCATTTTCTATTTTCGATTTTTCAAAACAGTAAAAATGCGTTCTTTTTTTTTTACTTTCAAAAACGCGTTTTTGAAAGGAAATTAAAAATTTACAAAGAAAATTCAAAATGATAAATTTGTTGTTTTAAGTGTTTTCAGTTATAATCAAATCAAAATTTTCAAAATTCGTTTTGGATGTTATCAAAACAATTTTTCAAAATGCCAAAAAGAACACATTTTCAACAATCTCAAAATGGACACTCAAAACACAAAATTCAAAATGAATTCAAAATTCAAAACACAAAATTGAAATACAAAGAGAACAACCCCTAAAAAAAGTTGCAAATTGCCTTTTAAAAAAACAATAAATAAAAAATAATTTGTTTTTTTTATTTAAAAAGTAAATAAATAAAAAATAGAAGGAAAAAGTTCTCTTACCAGCACAGTCAATTTTGTCTAGAAATTTACCTGTTTGAACTTACCAAACACACCCTTGTGTTGTGTCCATTATGAAATTGATGAAATCGGTTGGGTTGCAGACCAAATTGTTGACTCGTTAATTACAGGACTTTCGAAGTCAAAAGCCGGCAAATTAAGGGTCGTTTTGTTTCTACTACAAATTCCAATTTTGGTCAGCCATATACAAAACCCTTCTCTCCTCTATCTCCACGTCAACACGCACTATTATACGCTTTGTTTGACTTTAATTAAAATACAATTTTTTACTTTTTATACTAATTTTTAATCATATATTCATATAATAAAATATTATATACGTAGATTCAAAAAAAAATTCTTAATTTTTAACTACATTCCAAAATAAATAAATAATAAAATCGTTATTCAAAATATCATTTTCCCCAAATTTATCTTTACAATGGCCATCAAATATGGGCTATATAAGTTTGAGAAAAATAGTAGTATATAGTATATACTATATAAGTACGAGTTACCGGACTGATATCACATGTTCATATCCAGAGTGTGTTTGATGATTATTATTGAGGAAAGAATATATTTTAAATAGTGATATAATGAGAAATGTGTGATTAAAATGTAATGAAAAGTTATTGATATAATGAAAAATATTATTTTATTGAAAAATGTGTGGTTGAAAATGAGTTTTAAAAGAATATATTTTGAAAGAATATATACCAAACAAGGGTCTAGTATATTTAGATAATATTAAATAGTTTTGACATAATAAATAATTAATTTTGGCATAGCTTATATATATTTTTTTCTTCTCTTCTTATAGTAGAATTTTATGAGAAAGCTTCTTAGATTAACTTTTCATAAAAACTATTTTAGTCGAATAAAGTAATTTCATAAAATTATTTGTTTTAAAAATAATTTAATTTTTTTAAAAAATTCTGTCAAACGAACCCTTAATATACTGACCTAATTTGAAGATGAAAAAAACAAGAGCAATGCTACTAGTATATAGGCGTGTACATAAGTATGTACATAATGTGAGTGGGGGTGGGGCCTGCGCTNTGGGCTCCACCACACTCACATTATGTACACACCTATGTACAAGTAGATTAATCCAAAAAACAAAACGAGATGGAGAAGTGCACTCTTTGTAGAAAACCTTTTGCTTCTTCTTTAATTTTCTTACCTATACAAATTTCAAAGGAACTTTATGTGGGCCGACCCACCTAGCCGCTAAGTCGCTAACACACAACCAAATGTTGTCCTCCCCATAACTATTCCTACAATTTGCTGATGTGGGCCGACCCACCTAGCCGCTAAGTCGCTAACACACTACCAAATGGTGTCCTCCCCATTACTATTCCTACATTTTGCTGATGCATTTGTCTGATTAGATAGGCATTAAAATCAGTCAAGAACAAGAGGCAATTCTTGGGTTTTTATCCTAACTTCCACCAAAAACCTTATCTTAGTCGACCCAAATCAATGTTGATAAAAAATAAAATAAAATAGGAAAGATTCTACAATTCATACGCTTTAATAGTAAGTTAGTCATCGACTTTTAGTTATGGACGATCAAAAGTTTTTATTGACAAAAAATGTTCGAATGTGTGTAAAATCATCAAGTGATCCTCATAAGTTTTTGTGAAAATAGATTTTGTTTCTAGAACTTGTGTCGTGAACATTAATTTGAAGTTTGACATGTTTTCACGAGAGTCACGTAAAAAATTGATAAGGACTTGAACGGTTCATCATCAAGGACTATTTGGGAGATAAAAGTTCCCTTTTTGAAGTTCAAGGATCAACTTTAATAATGCAACAATAAGTTCAGGACAAATACTCCAATTTTCTTTAAAAATAAATAAAGGAGGCCTGCCCCCATCCCCATGACAAAACGATACAAAAGTGATATTGAGCATAGCACTTTGCAAATAAATGTGGGGTAAAAATGACAGAATATTAACAAATGTATGTCCTGAAAATAAGCTAAAATAGGTACATAAATTTCTTGGTAATTAAGTAAATGATAGGAGAAAAGGCATATTCAGCACTTGCTCTTCTGGGTAGCTTTTTTTGCACTTTCTTTGTAGTCCATGAAAGCTACCATCTAGGCACAGACGAATCTTCCTAGACATTCTTTGATATTTCTCACCTCCAACGAAAATAAGCAACGACTTATGAAAAGATTAAACAATACGATTGACAAGATTTTAACTTTTTTTTTAATGTAGTTTACCACAACAAACACGCATATGTGATTTCATATGTTCAAATATCTACACGGTACTATGTGATTTCAGTCGATAATTGTTGGGTTTGCTCCGAGGAGACCCTATAAGACTATGGCACTTGTAATTCCATAAAAAAAACTCGCCCAAAAAATAAAAATTAAAAAACAGCATCCCATCAAAAAGTGCTTCAACTTGGGGCTATATATCTACAATCAACTATCATGAATATGACTTTCACTATGCCTGCATGAGCCGGATACTCCGGTCATGCTAGCCGAACCATGCAATTTTCTTCAATAAAACTACTCATATCATTGCAGTTTCTTTCTTCAACATTTTCCAAGTTTGGCAAAGAAATTAATGCAAAACCAATCGTGCTTAGTAGGATAATTTAGTCAATGATTAATTACTTATTTCTTGTAGCCTCCTCTAGACTTAGAGGTGTTAAATAGGACCATTAGCGAGTCAAGTTGGCTTGTCATAAGTGAGTGAAAAAGCTATTTCAATAACAAGTTGATGAATCGTGAGCTAGCTCGACTAGTCTCACAAAGGAACGAGTTCGAAGGACAAGTCGAGCCACATTCGATGAAACGAGTGGTCTCATGCTCAGCTCATCCCACAAGTTAACACAAGCCAGCTAGCATGGTAAGTCAAAAAGAGCGACTCGACTTGACTCATTTAACACCCATGTCTATACTGGAAGAAGCTTTTGGAACACAGTTTCAGACACTGGAGAAAGATGCGAGAGAGAGAGAGATTAGTTTTCCTTCTACTAAAAGTTCACCAACTGTACGTGGACTGAAATGACAGGTCGTACTAATTGCTTTTTCTGATTAAATATTCTGTTCTTGATCAACTTCTTCCAAGTTCTAATAGTGCAGAATTCTTTATTTATTCAAGTAAAGAGATGGAGGAAAAACAGTGGGATTCAGACATGTGGAAGTGCATAAGAGCAGTACCATAATGCAGACATATAACAAATTGAAGCATTTAAAATTTAACTGGAATAAATTATGGGTTTAATTATCTGCTAATGAATATAATCTAATTAACAGAACATAATCTCAGAAAATGGAATTACAGTCAATTTGAGAGTAAAATAAACCTGTTTGACCCAACTGCCTAAAAGACACCTTTTTTTTCCTACTAATTATCAGCATTAGATCCATGAAATAAGCAAAAGAAAAGTAGTTTTTTTCTTTACCTCTAAATCAACCTTTTGTGCCAAAAAATTGAAGTTTAAGCAAAATTCACGATTTGGCTAATCTCATCATCATGTTCAACTGGAGCAGGGAGATTGAGATCTATATTCAAACTTTCACCTATTCTTGAAAATGGTATAGCAGGAGGAGGAGTAGTAGTATTAATAGAAATCACATTTGCTGAAATTGCTCCTCCACCAGTAAAATGTGATCTCTTGTGCCCACCAAGAGCTTGCCCTGATGAAAAAACTCTGAAACAAATAGGACACTCGTGTATCTTCTCCACCACTTGGATTGAACCACAATTTTTCCCTGTTTCCACCACCATTCGCGGTGGTGTCTCCGCCTTTATGTTGACTTTATTCTTCTTGTGATTTGCCCTGTGCCCCCCAAGAGCCTGATATGACCCGAATACTCTGTTACATGTTTCACATCTGTATTTTCCTCCAACTTTAGTACTCTTAGCCACCTCAACTGCACCAGAATCCTCGGAATAATCATCATCTTCATACTTGTTTCTCTCTCTATGTTCTTCTTCTTCTTCTTCATATTCATATTGTTCTCTCTTCCAGGTATCTCTAGACAGCATCATCAAGCAATAAGCAACATCTTCTTCTGGTGTGTCTGAAATTGAACTCAAAGGTTGATCAGAAAACTCATTACTAGTATTTTCTCCCTTTTCAAACTTGGATTTTTTCATCATCTCTGTTTCCTTCACAGAAATTCTTGTTTTCCTAATCCTTTTAGAACGCGTGAAAATCGGGTTCGGGATCGACTCTGTTTCACTCTCTCTGTCATGAAGCACAACAGAGCTCGATGCAAATATGAACCCGGGATCTACAAAACGGATACTTTTTTTGGGATTTTCTCTCAACCCATAACATAATACTTCCTTTTCTCCATTTTCTTCTTCTTCTTCTGATGTTGATGAAGACAATTGAAAATCATCAGACGGTTGAGAATCCTTTTCAAAAGTCCGCACTTTCTTCTGTTTTTTTGCTGCATAAAATTTCATCATGTGAGATCTCATGTGCCCTCCAAGTGCTTTTCCATTAGCAAAATTTCTCAAGCAGAGTTTGCACCTGTATTTCTCCATGAAAAAAATTTCAAGTTTTCACGCAGTAAGTGTGTTTCTCTGTATAGGAGAAGTATAATGTGTGCGGAAACTAAAAGGAGTAGGTTAGGTGACAAGCATTCCTTCCTCCACCAAGACCGCATATATACACTATGAAATATTGTGTATATATAACATTTTTTCAAAAATTCTTGAAATTGGATCTGGGATTTTCATTTGATATTATTCTTTATAAAACGGCAAAGAGTCATTAATAAGATAAAACAACTTAATTAAAGCATAATGCATCAATAAAATGTAACATGCCAAATTCTCATTAAGGGCTTTCGTTGAGAATAGATTTTGTGAAAAATTAATTTTATGATAGTTAAAAAATATGAAAAAGTTATTGATCCACGTGAAAATTTATTTTATTCGAGAAATGTTTGGTTAGAAATGAGTTTTAGCCCATGTTGGATGTAGACTAAAATTAGATTTTTAATAAATTTTGATAAAAACTGATGAAACGTGCGGTTGAAAAGTTGCAGATCATATAAAATGAGTAATTAAAATTAATGGTTGATTCTAACTTAAATTTAAATTTGATTTTTACTCAAACCAAACATGTGCTTATAGAATATATTTCACCATATCTCCACAATCCCTACATAGCCATCCACTAATATATTTTTCCTTTAAAAAGTAACATCATAGTTTTCCTCCGAAGTTTCCAATTTTAAGTTCTCTATTATATTGAATTAGATGTCCATATGTGATAACTAAGATGGTATGCTCGATTTTCTTTTATTTCGAGTCAAAATAGTGCCTTCTTTTTGCTGTAAATTATTTGACAAAATAAATGTACATTTAACGAGTTAGAGTTGACGCGATTAAAAAAGAGAGATACAGTGTACTTATCTATTTACGTCTTACTCTAACCTACCAACCGTCCCCTAAAAAGGTACTATTTGGAGCATCCACCAAAAATAAACCTTCCTACAAACAATCGTCTTTGAAAAAAAAAAATAAAGACTTTTAGGACGGAAAGTGCATGGAGAATTTTGTAATAGAAGTGGTCATAGTGAATTAAATGTAATTAAACCATAATTAAAATTGTGTTTATCACACAATCAAATTGCAAATCTTCAGATTCTGACACTTTTACCGGTGGATGTAAAGGGGGAACAACAATGAGTGTATAGAGTTTTGGTATGACCAAAATTCCCTTTTATATTTACTAATTATGATTAAATAAATAAATAGTTATTTTTTAATTAGCATATTGATTTTTTTCTTTTTAAATAATCGCTTTAATTTTGGATCTTTGATTGAAATGTGTGGAGGGAGAAAGTAGCTCCTCCGTCCTTTGAGAATGGAGTTTTGTAGGGAAATAAACGCCGTTTTGTTAGGGGCAAATGGTGGACCTAGTCCCCCGTGAAATCATGCCCTAATCCATCTTTTCATTGTCTAACTTATTTCTTCAAATTATAACATTTAATAGAATGTCACAGTGTGTAGTTAAAAAGTTGTGGTTCATATAAAACGTGTGATTAAAATTAGTTGTTGACTTCAATTTCGATTTTAATCAATTTTTTTAACGATACCAAACACAAACTTAGTAACTTGAAATGATTAATTTCAAGTTGTCGATTAGTATTCCGTTGCACGACTATACCTTATTCTGATTTGAACTAGACTGTATATGAAATTTTGTTATTGGAAAGAAACACGCTCATAATTATTCAGAAATAAATTAAGACCTTGTTTGATCTTTTTTTTTTTTTTTAAAATATAATTTTCTCTCTTCTTTTTCACCACACATTCTTTAATAAAATAATATTACACACAATTCAAAAAAAAAAAACCTTCATTGTTAACCATATATTTTCCATCGATCTATTATTTCAAAATGCATTATACACAAAAATGGAACTCAAACAAGCCCCAAGTCTCATTTTCAATAAATTAGGAAGGCAGTGAAGAGGACATACTTGTGACCCTATTTACCAACATTTATTATGTAAAAGCATTTATCAATATTTTTCTGTCAAAATAACATAACATAGTTATACAACTCGTCCCGTCCTGGCCTGGTCGGATCGAAAAATCGACGGCTCAGACCGAACAGATTAATTCGATAAAAAAGTACTTGACTCGGTCAAAATCGAACTTTGACCGAGTTAACCAGCGATTTACTCGGCCCGATTGACCGGTTTGATAGAGTTTTGAAATTCTCTTGTAAAATTTTTGGGTCCAAGGCCCTGGACCTCTGAGGAAAATAATTGGTTCCTCGCCACTTGAACATAAATTGTTTTATAGTATGTTTGATGCACATTAAAATGGAAAGAATGTATTTTTTTGTGATGTGATGTGAATACGTGGTTGAAAAAGAAGGAAAAGTTATTGATATGATGGAAAATATTATTTTATTGAAAAATGTGTAGTTGAAAATGAATAGAAGAATTAGAATGAAAATGAGAATGTAGCTCAAACAGAGCTTTAGTATTACTTATGTGTAATAACTTATATCTATTTAATGAATCGTTTATAGGTTTTATAAAAATATTCCTTTAAAAAACTTTGGTACAACATTTTACTTTATTTTATAGACCTAAATAATTAGTGAGAAATGAATTAAAAAAAAAATAATTTTGCCTCTAAAAAAATTATTTATCATATTTTTTTTGTAAGTTTTTATGTAATAATCTATCAGTTGAACCACTAACTCATTGACCCGCTGTATTGTTCGGATACGTGTCCAGTCGAGACTGACAAATATGAGCATAACCCATTTAAAAGTGGGAGAAAAGAAGGGAAAAAAAAAGTGTAAAAAGTCAATGCAGAAATTCATCTTCTTTCCTTGGGTTCATTAATTTCCAATAAAGATATTGGAGCCCCTTTAATTTCCTGCACATTAAGTGCTGCTGCTGCTGTAATTTTCCTTGACTGAATACAGTTTTTTTTATTATTTATTATTTGAAGATAATTTTTTTTTTCTTTTTATCACATTCCATTAAAACCTCGATAAATTAATAATATCGCTTAAATAATAAACTTTTATGATTCTATTTCGGGTATGTGTACTAAATTAAACTAATAATCTCGTTGAATGCATAAGATACTAATTTTACTTCAAATCTTTTAAGGTTAGTTTGTAAAAAAATAATTTTCTAACGTTATGATATCTTTTAGAGTAACAATTGGGTAAAACACATCTACCATCTAAATTATGACCATTATCGTCAAGTATATGCAGCACCCCTCGTATAATTTTGTCATCAATACATTATCGTATAATCTTACTGAATAATAAGAGGTATTCACATCTATCACACTTTTGCAGCGTCGATTGGAATCTTCACTTAATCTATGGATAAATTAATAAATTATTTATTCATTGATAAAATAAATAACATTTTTCTCGATCCTAACATTATTATTACACGTGAGACATTGGTATCAATGCTTCTTAACACAGCAAGTTTTGAGAATTTAACCAACATTGCCCTAAATTCTCGAAGGAGACTGTCCAATTTGTTAGGTTGCTCACCGAACTTATTCTTAACCGCCGTAGAAAATTGTTAGTTAAAGTTTTTGACAACACTTATTTTATTTTAGTGTCAAGAATATTTGTAAGTGGGTGCAAAGAAAGGAAAAGTATAAAAAGTCATCCTTTTCTTTCATTAATTTCCAATAAAGATATTGGAGTCCCTTCTTTGTAATTTTCTTTGACTAAATATATATATATATATATTAAAAGTGGCTATGTAACGAAATTTCTTATTTTTAACGGAAAAACTAACGGAATTTGTAGTTTTAACGGATTATGTAACGGAATTTCTTATTTTAAACAGGCAGCTGCACCTTCTTTCAGTATTTTTATCATAACTTTGTATTCCGACGTCCGATTGAGGCGATTCAAAATGCGTTGGAAAGCTAACCCATCTGGCTACAACTTTGATTCAGACATTATTCTCCAATTCGATCACTTTCTATGCCAAAAATAGGTTTCAATATGAGACTAANCTTATTTTCTTCGATTTCACCAACTTACATCACAACATCAAAATCACACATCTAATTATTTATCAATTACATAAATATTACATTATTAATTATTTAATTAACCAAAAAAATTATATCTTTATTAATAACAAATTAATTGTTAATTTTGAACTGTAATAAAAAATTTAGTTGAACCAAACATGGATTTAATTTTTTTTTTAATTATTTAGAATATATTTGGTACTCCCTACTTATTTATTTTTTATTTTCCAAGGGTCCCTACTTATTATTGTGTTTGACTTACAATGGAGTAACAAGAAAGGTAAAAATAATTATTGTATTAATTACTTAATTTTAAAAACTTAAATGTTTATTACAAACAGACAAATACAACGCACGAATATACATCGTTCATATACAATTAACTACATATTAGATGAAGGTAGTGTGTTAACGTATTGTCGGTTTCAAATTTTGGAGTACTTGTTTATGGACTTGTTTACATTACATGTCCAAGTGACATTCATCTCTACTATTGATGCCAAATCGAACTCGATAAGCACAAAGCACACACAATTTTGCAGAATTCAAAAGATAAATACAAGGATAGGATCCGAATATTCAAATGCTCTTAATACTACTCATTTGTCGAGCATCCAAAGAGGATAAAGATAAAAAATGTACTAGCACCACCAAAAAACGAACAATGTTTAACTACAAACGAGATTTACTGAGAATTCACTACAAACTACAAAGACGTCAAAAACCGCTCAATCTCAATATGGATAGTCCAACTAATTGAGTTATTATTGGTAACCAAATTCTTAACCTATTATAGTTTCAATTTATAAATAAACTTAGTTTCGTATAAGAAAAAAAGAAAAAGAAAATGAGTAGAAGAAATCAGATGAAGAAAAATTCTTAAAACTCTCGAACGGCGTGAAGAAGAGTGAACGACACAACCCTATTTGTTGCAACTGAATGGGAATATAGAAGAATCCAAAAACCCTTCATCTAATTATGGAATTCCATTCGATGCCTTCGTCAAGGTTTCAAGTGGGTCAATCGACCCACCTATGTAGTGGCAAATATGCAATTTCATTCGAGTCCTAGTTCACTACAATGGGTATCATTTATTGTGTAGCTTCACTTGTCAACTTCACAACTTTTTTATAGTTGTTACAAATTGTCTTTAAAATTTTTAATGACGACGATAAATGTAGGATTTGCGTAGTGATAAAATCATTTCCGATCGGCTTTCTTTGTTTGGTTTCCCCATATCCTAAGAAATCGAGGATGTTTAGGATCCAGTGCCCCTCCTCTTCCCCCAGCAAATCTGCGGCAACCAAACCAAAGGGGACGTAGGGGGAGATGGAACACCCCGGAGCATATAGATCCACCCGATCGATGAAGACTCAAACCGAAGGAAAGGTGTAGACATAAATGCAACCATAAACAAAGGTTTATGACTTTTTGTGCAATTTAAAAATTGTGCAATAAAAGAATTTTTTTAAAGCTATTCCAAACATATTCTAAGCCAACAAAATGTACGTGTTTCCGCCTTTGT